CTATGTGAAACGTAACACTTTTGTGGTGTTATTGTGCATCAGATACCGAAAATCTAGTAGTGTCCACTGCACATGTAATACGTACTCGATATTGCACTGGTTGTAAACGTCGACAAAAAATCAGTTATACAAGTTTCTTTAAATATAATTTCTTTAAGCGGACCGTGCATAAAGCCAAGACTAATATTGTATGTTCGCGGCAAATAATCGCGAAGAAAGGTAAACGCTAAAGATGTGGCGAGAAGCTTGGCACAACTTACCTAGTATTCTCAAAGAAACATAGAGGGATTTGAAATAAATATAGTTTAAAATCGGTGGTATTTAATTGCTCCAGCAGACCAGCTTGTTATTCAGAATTATCTAAGTTCAGTGCTATATGGCGATGGTGGTAGCTGCGATAGCGGTGATAAACAAGCTAGTATTATGAGAGCTAAACAATTATGATAAGTTATTATGCAAATCAAGATATAAGCAACCAATAAGGCGAATGATTGGCTAATTCTCTTCATCCAAGTCGTACGTTTTCTGTTTCTATCTGTGTGGGGCAGGTAAACTCCAGTAACTGAATTCACTAGTCGTCCTTGAAAGACAAGGACGACCTCAGCCTATTCGGGCTGAACAGAATATGTCACCCATAGGCGATAACAAGAGGGCTGTTGCTATTGTCTTGCGTGGGGTTAGATGAAGTGCAAACCCCCTTGTTGACTGAGAAGCGTCCGAAGCGCCGGGCATGTCTAATTCTCGATCATCTGCGTAGACCTGGTAACTGGTTAGCATATGTATGTAATCTATGGAGGAAACGTCAGTCAGCAAACGCCATTCAACGATGATCTGCAGACGACCGATGAGCAAAACTTGAGATTGTATCGCGCCCGCGGCGCAGTGGACCGTTACTCTCAGAAGGGATTTGGTGAAACTTACTCAACGACGGGCAGCCCCTCACTGCATTATAGAGACGGAGAATGAGTGACCTGCAAAGCACACTGCGTCGTACCAAAGACAGCGCAGGTAACTGAGTCAAATGCAATCGACAAGAGAGACTCTACACCGTTTTGCAAGCATCCTCTGCAAAGGTAGCTTTACGCACGATGAACCACAACGTTTCAAACAGATGCTTCATAAGCAGATCTACGAGCACAACCGGAGTCACTTCGTTTAACAATAAAATGCGAAGTGTTCGAGCAGCATTGGCGTTTGCCTAGCTTTCTACAGCAACATCAGCAGGTCGTGTGCCTTCAACAATTAGCAATTGCGGAGATGTGTTCTCGCTTCTAATATCTCGCTCTGAAGACATACTGATGGCCTAAAATGAAGTCCCGGTGAGCCCTACATAAAGCAAACAAAATGGTCTGAGAAACAGCGGGAATCTCGCTACAACTACAAGGAGCGAATTCGTGTACCATATGCTGTTATTAGCAGTGCTACAGCATATTAAAAAAAAACTGTGATTTTTTTTGTTAGCGCAAGTAGGCAACATCTCTGCGCGAAACTAACTTATGGATTGGTTTTTAATGGTATAACGCTTTGAACTGTTAGGAATTACCGAATTAACTGTTGCGGCTTCACCTATCATACAAACTTCAGCGAAAGTAGGTGCTTCAACTAGCAACAGTAGCACTGGTCAGATTGAACAGGTCATGAGTATTAATTAACACCCTTATCATTACGATAATAAATTCATTCGTGAATTTATCAAGCTCTTTACAAAACGAACTGCGTTGCCATTTGTATTTAAATTAGCCGCGTTAGATTGCTGTAGTATTATGATATCTTTGATCGAATTTTCGGGTTTGGTAAGGTGCAGCATCCAATGCAAACCCGCTTCTTCGGAACAGCTTCATAGCGCCAACAGACATGAGTCCTAGTTGTTTTACTATAGTAGAAGAACTCAACATTCATCAAAGGCGTCAGTATAAACCAGTCGCATCGATGGTTTGAATGGTTGAAAATTGCAAATATCTACTTCTACTTGCGTGTCACCGCTCTCGACATGTCTCTTGCCACCGGATTTTGTCTTGTCGACTCTAGCTTCTATATCCTGACAAAACTCCTCGTAAGTTCCTGCTGTCCCTGACAGAGGACGAGACTACTGATGTTGATAGCTAGCCACGCCCGCCTTGAGACCAATCTCGAAGAGACTGCTCTGATCTGAATCAAAACGTCAGTCCACAATGTCACGACGCGCGGTACATATGCACCGCATTTTTAGCATCTCCGCTTTAGCTGATCTTCCACAAGATACAAACTTAACATTAAGTTAGTTAACGAAAGTCTTAAAAGATATATATTGAATTAGACATAAACATTATACTTTACTATGGATTAAAGCCACTTCGCATAAGTCATACGCTTGAAATGTAAATTCTAGTAAGTATATATAGGAAATATTAACGGTTCAAACCTAATGTGACTGTCGCAAAGATACTTATAAGAGACGTAATTGCATTCCATTTTGCTCGTTTCTACAAGTTGGCGCAAAGACAGTAACATGAGGACCTTTAGACAGTTTAAAACGCTGTTTTGTAATTTTACACCAAGCAGGAATCCCAATCGTCACAACCGCGTACATGATCATATGTGCTCACCTCAATAGCGAACCCGCATCAGAGGAATCAGCATTACAAAACTGTTTAAAGTAATCCCGCGTAATGAGATGTCCATGGATCCTGATGTGATCGAGTTGAAAGCAAACAATCTGTTTTGTACTGCACAGCTAATCAATCATTTTCAATTTCGCAGAATCGTTTTCTCGATTATAAGTATTATAAATTGCTTTATGCAACTATCCAAAGTCATCTAACTTGTCCGAAGTCAGCCAATTTTACGTTAGCCAAAATAATAAAAGTTATAGCAGACTATCAAAGATCCCCAATTGTATAGAAACGTTACCATTGGTATATGTGCATAGTAAAATTTATTTGATTAAGACGGTTTTTAGGAGCTGCTGAATGAACTAATGGTAACGCCAAGAGCGAGTTTTGTTTTATTTCTTTGTTTATCTGCGAAAAACCTTGCTTATCTAGAAAAAAAAAATATATAGATTTAATAGCTTTTAAAGTATTCTGTGATGTAAGAAAAACTGAGCAAAAATATTATCAAGGCAGCAGAGTAAGACAACTAAGCTGTGCATAAATAAATAAAACCGGCAATGTAAATCCTTCAGTTAGTGGCTATTTTATCTCAAAAACATACAGAATAAAGAAGAACATCTGGTTCGAATTTGTTAGAGAATGCAGCTGCAAATGTGGTATCATTTATTCCAAGTCTGTTTTCAATTTTATATTTTGTTTAAGATCTGGAAGATGGTGGATTTTTTTTAGATATTTGGGCTGTGAACTTCTTACATTTCTTTTGATACTCAGATTCCAAAAACAGTTAAATAAACATTCTAACGGAAGCTTAATGATATATTTCCTGATTCATCCGGCATCAATTTTCATCTACTAGAAACCGTACTCACTTAACTAACAGCATACAATTAATTATAGGTACAATTGTCTTTAGGCAATAAAACTGGTATTGCGTCCAGCCTCTAAGTCCATTTATATAAACAGAAGGTCTTAAGTACGAAAAGTTTCAACTGAGCAAAGTAAATAGACAACAGTTGCCATAACTGGAATTCGAAATGGAATAAAACATTTTGGTGGTAATTAAGTAAAACTAATTACTAGTCGAGCTTAAATTGAAATTGGTATTATGAACGTTTTGTGTCGTAGTTACAGAACGTTATTCACCTTCGCAAACGTATTTATATAATAAATCGAAACAAAACTAATCATTCCAAATATGCGTTACAACACTTTTTGGTCTCTAAGGCTAACGGACACTTAAAACTCTGCGTTTAAGTGTTGTTATACTACTTTAAAAGAAACTTTGATTTATTATCCAGACATTTATAATCAAAGTGAATCCTATTAGTGAATTCTGCGTATCCGGCCAAGCTTGTTTCCATAAAATCTTTTAGTTGAGACGATTTACTGTGCTATAGGGAAAATTGGGGCGCTATTCATTGGGAAATAATGGATTCGTTCTATCTCGAATAAGCATACAAATTCAGAAGGAAACGTGATAATTTTAAATATTAACACAAAGAGATCCACCACATGCAAAATTCACATCCTACGAATGGTAGGGAGAGACGGGTGTCAGAAAGGCTTTATCCTGCTCAGTGTTTAACACAAGCATTATCTTTTGACTTTACTATTCTTCAAAACATTGTTGAATACACTAAAGTTATTATTTAGTAGTTGGGTTCAACGCTACGTGAGCTACCGGACATAGCAGAAGGTACTGGCGTAGCAAAACACTATCACAGATTTCAAAGTCATTAGAAGCTCTGTGGGTTTTGAACTAATTTTGAACTGATTCAAAATATAAGAGCCTTAACGTAATGCAAAAAAACTGAGTGGCTCTTCGGATATTTCAGAAACTACGTTGTTGAAAGGAAATAAAAACACAAACATAGTAGTTGTGTGCTACACCATATTAAGGTATACAAGAATGGCAAGTTGTCGCGTTTTCTACTAACATTTGCGATGAATTTCTTCATAATCCAAACACACCTTCATCTTGTTTAATTGAATTAATTACAACATTATTATTAAAAAATTAACAGAGAACTTAACTTAGTCAACTAGTTGGAAGTTGGATGGTCAGTTTTCCAAGCAAGTCACGCTGAATAGATCTCGCAATATGTAAACTTGATGATATAACATTCACCTAATCTTATATATCACTCTTATCAGTTACCTATGCAGAAAAACGTGTCTTGAAAGGGCCTTACATCAATTTTACAGTATATATAAACACTTGATTACGACGTAACTAAAGTCTTAGACATATAATATGTCTTGATTACGCGAATAATAATTGCTAGTTTTGAATGAGCACAAACTTAGTTGTTTATGTTGCGTTTATTATTATAATTATTATTAATATTATCATTATTACGCTTATTATCGATCATTTATTATTAATTTTTAATAGTAGGTATGCTTAATGATCACTTAATCACAACAAACACCATAACTACGGTGCTGCAAACTTAGTACACCGGATGCACGCTATACGTCGCCCCTTCACAGCGGTTAACGGGTCAGAACTCAGTTCAGTCCGTTTCCTTGTCCGTCTGTCCCCATAAACCCCGACTTCAATAATCAGCCTCATCCTTGGCTTCTTCCATTTCGATGATGAACTTCCAGAATTCGCTTCATTTTGCTTTCGATAAATCGACACTTCTCCAAGCGGATCTAGAAGTTCATTGTAAAGCTCGTTGGAGATCCTCACTCACGTCTACCGGCTAGGCCCTTTTTCTCCTCTATATTTTCTTTTTAAACTCTTTTTTTTCTAAAGTCTTTTTCCACGGTGCATCACTCGGACTCCTTTACTTCTAAAGGTGAGCCAAGCTGCGAATCGGGACTATGCACCTGTGCTTGCATCCAGTCGCCTCCAATCTGATGTCCTGGTGACGATGGTGGAAAACGTCTTTTCTTGGCTAGCGGCTCGGCCTCGGTGTCTGCGCACGTCCTGAGGTTGAGCAGGCTGCCCCCAGTGGCCAGGTTGGCGAATAGGGGCGCTGCTGGTGGGAATAGGCCCGGGTAAGCGGGAAGACTAAGAAGTGAACGCGGCAGGCCAGGTACGAGCCCTGCGTAAGGGGTCCCGCCGCCACCTCCTCGGTGGCCATTTGCGCGAAATTGTCCGGCGAAATACACTGCTGCAGCCTGACTTACAGCTGATGGAGTATCGCCAGTGGAGAACCCGGTCAACGACTCGGCGCGTACTTCTCGGGTAGTAGAACAGTCTTTGTCATCAGATGAAGAAGTTGGTGAGGCCGACGATCGAGCTGGAGGACTCGATGGTGAAGGGGGTGGTCGAGACGGAGATGTCTGAGCGGGTGCCATAAGTTCCTCAATAGCTGCTAAAACGTCTCCTTTATGGCGAGCTAAGATTGTTGCCAATGATGAAGCACTTCTATGTGGAAAGAGCTTAGCAAGGGTATCAAGAGGACGACGCTTGTTGTCGGACTTGCTACTCGAAGTACATAGTGATGCAGGAGAAACGGCCGGTGATGGTGACCCCCTGGCAAATCAGTAAACCAAATCAAAGAAAACGAAAAATATACAATAATTACACTATGTGTTGGATTCAGATATACCAATAAAACTAAATGTAAATTTTTTTTCTGATTCAGTCAGCATGTTACATTTAGATTCTAGTACATAAACACTACAACTAAATTGATCACGATGATTTAAAGGTAATCAAATCTTTAAAGACACACACACATCTATATTACTTGTAGTAAGCACACACTTCGGTCGTTTCTATAAGGAAAAAAGCAAATTTTTACCTGATTAATCCTTCCCCAGGAACACTGCTTGCAATGGAAGTTTGCGACGATAGCGCAAGTTGTTTATTTACAGAATTCGATTCTTTGTTGACAAAAGTGGCCTCAATAGCGTCTTTTTCGGCCCAGCCCGAGGGCGACCTGCTCCCAATATTTGTTCCATTGTTCAATCCACTGGCGACATCCAAGGCAAGAGGTTGTTCATCGATTTTGTCGTCAGAATTGAGCGTGGGCGGATGCGGTTCGAGTCCGTCTCCTCCACCGGTGGCCTTACGGCCTCCGGGGCTATTGCTTTCACGACGTTCGGTGGCACCGGGGTCGTTAGGACTGGAGAGGTTCACCACACCGTGTACAGCATTTTCTGTTAATAGCTTCTTCCACTCTGCAATATTAAACAAATGAAAATTGATGATTAAGATCTACTTACTTATTGTGCTCTATAATATACAATACGATATTCGAGTACACGATTGCTACAAAAAAAGGAAACTCTAGGCCCGTTAGGTCAATTAAGAAAGAAGAGGACATGCTTGGCTAATTTAAGAGCGGGCATCCGGAATTGATTTATTAGACGTGACGCGTTATATTTCTTATAAACTCTTGGGATGTTTCTACGTTGTACACTTCTGCTTTATCGTCTATTTACATAATTGTTTTCTGTTAACTATACTGGAAGCAGCATTAATATACTCTTAATATTACATCTAATAATAATTTTTTACATCATCTGCTAAGCCACTCCATATCCTATTCAAATTTTAGTTTGTTATTGGCAATTATAGTTGGTTAGTATAGGCATGTCGTCTATCAGATACGTCCCAAATGGCACCTCGCATAATTTTCACCCCATGCCCCTTGCCTCGCCGCCTTACTTTCCCATTCCCCTTCATGGATGCACAGTCCCAATTTAACAACAGTGTCGAGAAAGTAATCGATCTTCATAAGAGCTAAATGTTGCTTATAAGACTACCAGTCGTGATCGTTGCCCCGCCCCAAAATACTGCATGCACCCCGCGTTACTTTCTTTAAGCTGATTCCTTCATACTCCACAGATAAGCTGAAAAACCCTATTATTGTTGATCCTCCATATTGAATCTGAAGAAGCAGCGGGCAACAACAAAACTAGCAACGATAGAAGTAAACTTGTAACTTTATCGTCATCATCCTAAACATCGCCTCAGGTCTCGGCTGAATAGTGATAATAGGCTGTTGTTGTTGATTGATCCGTTACCATGCTAAAGGGGCCGAATTCTAATCGCACGACTCATAGTGGGTAGAAACGGTGTGAATGGAAAAGCACGATCGGGAACTAATATGAACTACAACAACAACAACCATGCGAACAGGACTGACAACAGTAAATAGCCATAGCCAGCCGAACATAACAATATAAATATATTGGATATACACACGAATGTCCACCGAGTTTAACCTTGAAATTGATTTCATTGTTACAATAAAGCAAGTCGTGCTTTGGGAGACGCTTAGTCGAGCGTTTCGGAACATAGCTTCGAGAGATGTAGTCCCATAGAGAGCGGAGAGGCAGGTGGGTCAAAGGTACATGTCAGCAGGATTCACCAAAATTGCCATTTGGTGTACTTCAAAGCACAATTTTACTAAGGATGTTTTAAGGCAGCTTTGCAATTCTCGAATATGGCCTAGTTATGAAGCCACTTGCAGCACTGCAGAGCAAATTCAAACTGAGCATATTTTTCTCCTTCTACATTTCGTTGGGAACTCGAGGCGCAATCTACAACGAAGAATTGAATCGCATACTCAGGTAGATCACACAGTCTGGGCGTTCAGTTCTGGTGGGAAGGCAAATCTACAAGAAGAGCTAAAAAGCTAGTGAAACCCAATGGGCATCCTTCGCTGACGCGTCAATTGTGCAAATCTATTCCATGGTTGTGGTTGCATAGCAGTCATTGCCAACACGTTTGATATAATTACGTCGAAGCCAGCAGAATTTATAGGTTCTCACCAGCAGGCAGCGAAATGAGTTGTTGAACACCGTTAATTTTGTATAAAGCTGACACAGATATCCTTGTACTGAACACACGGGATACTTTATTTGCTCTCTATGGCAGCTTCAATTCATTTTCACTGGTGGATACGCACTGTTTGGGTTTGGCGGCTTGAATCTCTGCCAAGTGTGAACGAAATGACACTGGAAAGGTGCGATGTTGTATTGAGGCATATTATAATTTGCCTGCGGCGTAATTCAATCATACAGTACTCTCTTATAATGGTATCATCCATATACAGGGCCACCCTTCACAGTGGGGTTTCCTACTGAAATCTCTTAGTGACCAATTGAGGAGGTGCTGACTCCTATTCATCCACTGAGATAGAAAGGATGCAGTCTGACACAGCAGGTGTTAACATCTCGCCCGGGGGCTTCCCATACAAAGTTGTTGATTAGAGCTTTGATATACGCTATACGGCAGTGTAGCCTTATAATGGAGGAAAAACAACGACCATATTAATGACACCGCGAATGTTAATATAAAACATGCAGCGATTTATTTTCGTAAGGTATTCCAGGTATACCAAGTAGAGAGAGAGTACAGAAGCCAGTACCGTGCTTTCGATATAGGCAGCTATGTGTACTTCATGTTCAGATATTCACACCTCTGACTGAAGGTCGTTAAAGCTGCGTGAAGCATCCGTTAGGTGCCATAACACGTTTACGCTCAAATGTACGTGTGTGACATGAGGCTCATGTTTATACACCTTGCTTGCAGTCCGATTTTCACCTGATATTTATCAGATATCAATGATACGAACTTTGTATTATGTACTTATCTATGTATATTTGGTGGCCATTTTCCTAATCTCAGCCCTCATTTCAAACCAAACAACTAATTAATAACGATAGCCACTATTAACGGCCGTAATCGTAACAAGACAATTGTGAAACTAATACTAAAATAACCACAAGGTGATGTGTTCCACTTAATGGGAATCGATGATCTGGGACGGTTATGATAACAATGGCAGTCAAGTAAGGAAATCAGCTAAATGTCTCTAAGGCTCCACTGTAGGCAATAAAAACGCAACGCACACCATTACCGAGAACTCGATAAATCTAGCGATGAAAAAGCACCCTACGCACTGCTTGTGTGCTTGTAAGCAATCTTGTAAGTGTGTATGAGGACGGAGTCTCGACGCGCTGTATCTGGAGCTAATAGAAGCAGAATCCTGAGTCGCGCTTCTGCTGTCACTGCGGCGGCGACAGTCGATGGTGCTGCTGCCGCTATAGGAAAGAAGGTGGATAGTAAAGCAGCTTATGGCAATGGCAAGCACCAAGAGATGTAGACAAGCGTAGCAGATCTCGAGAAGCGAGAAGACCGACCGAGGTGTCAGTAGCAGCAGTAGTCAGCTTGAAAGCGGCACCAGCCACCGCCGAGTCCACTACTGCCGCCAGCGTCATCGTAGGGAGAACAAGCCTGCTACGGGAAACGGGAAGATAGAACACAGCGATTGTGTCGCGGGGGTCAGACCAAGTGAATAGGGGATGCAAACGAAGAGGGGAGAGCAATGGGGATGTAGAAGCTGTGGAAAAATGGCAGCAAGAGACAAAACCACGGTAGCAGTCAGCACGATCGCAACTGACGCGACATCAAGAGAAGATTTGGTTGCCGGTGGAAGAGGGTGAATGGAATCACGAGCAAGGAACTGGTGCGGACGATTGTGGTGAGCAGACGAAGAAGAAGAATCAAGTTGTTGAACTAGAACGGAGAAGTGTCCGAGGCCACCGTTGTTATTTCTATGCAGATCGCGGACGAGCCACGATATCGAACAGCCATGGCCAGCTTTATGATAGTATGCTGGCACTCATGTACCCGTTCGGTGGGTGTACACCATGACACTGATAAAATCGAGAAGCTTTTCTAAGGATACCATGACATGGTTGCCAGTTTCAGCCCGCGGTTTGGTGTCGAACTGTCAAATCCAACATAGCACAAAACAATACCATAACGTGTTGGTACACAAAAAGGCGAAGCTCAAAACACACAATGTGCAGTTAGATAATATATAGATTCATATTATACTGTATATCGTACTAGTTGGTGTGATCTCAAAAACGTAACTTCTTTTTTTTATTAGTAACATGCGAGCTAACTGGAGCGTTAAGTAGCGTTGCAAATGCATAAACTCGCACTACGAAATATAGAGCGTGTCATCGACGCTACAAAAAGGCACAGAATGACATCCAACAGCTGTATGACAAATGCGACGTCTAATAATAGTAATTTAAATTTCCGCCCATAGTCCTATAGACACAGAGGTCCCTAGGCGACCATAATATTCTTTCTTGGCTGAAAAAAGTATGTCAACACAATAGTAAGTTTAATTGTTTGGTATTGAATTGTTGAATTCTCAACTCGTCACTATGTCAACAACTGCCATTCTTGTGTAGGTCTCGGAGTAAGCAACTGAAAGCAAATGCCCCTAAAGAGAGAACGAAGAAAGCGTCAACCAGAGAATGTTTACAAATGAAAGTGTACAGCCTATATGTACAAAACATTATTTTAGGTACAGCAAATTACATTTTTTACGCCAGTTGTTCGCTTATCCAAATAAGTTACACAGGTTGAAAATATTTGTATTTAGTCCACTTGAAGTGTATAAGCAAATCGTATTTCCGAAATTTATTTAACTTTATAATAAAGTTAAATTATCAATGGTCGATTCAGTCCGTATTATTACTTCGTTCGTTCCGTTGAAACCCGTCAAGGAACGTCATCTTTACATTTCTCAGGAACTGAGGATGCTAGCAAGAGATTGGGCATGTATCATCATATTATGTAATCGCTATGAAAGGGCGGAGTATAAGTAGCACTGTTACGACACGTGTATCGAGGGTGAAGGTAAAGACAGTTTGGGATCTTAGTTTAGGCTTGGAAAACGCCTTTAAATTGAGCACAAGGTTGTGGCACAATCACAACCAGCTGGCTAGTAGGAGACTCAACCAATGGTGACTGGTAGCAATCGGGCCCTGACCAGAGCGAGACGGCGGCGACTAGGGCAAACCAACAACTGGCTCGTGTAACAAGCGCAGGAACAGCAAGAGCAGGGGGTGCTGGAGGTGGCGGTACGCGTTCCGTGAAGAGCCCTCGAGACTCAATTGAAATTTCACCTCAGCTGCAACCTCAGTGGTTTCGTTTCGAGGTGATGTGGTCGTTTTCGTTTTCAATTCGAAACAACTTGAGAGAGATTCCGAGTACGCGGTGTCGTCTGTATCTGTTATGTCAGTCACTATCTCTTGAGTTCAGTTCGCCACTGTCCTTTCAGTTCCTCAAATTGAGCTGGAGCAATCTCCATGTAGGAAGAATGAAACATGTCTCATTTCCCGCCTCCATCATCTGCGTTTTGCTT